TGTCTTTTTCCAGCTTGCCTTCTGTTCTTGTGATGACTGAGGGAGTGGAGGAGAGGAGGGGCTTTTAAACAGATTAAGTGATGTGTTTCCTGTGTGTGGGGAAGGAGATTCCATCTCGTGATGCTGTCCTGGAAGACTAATGGAAATAGAGTTACCGGTAAGTCCTAACTCTGAATTTTTTTACTCTCCCAATACTTCTCCTTTTAACCCTTTTGCTGCCAAGCCCTCTGGAACATTTTGCACCTCAGCTGGCCACACCATTTTTGCAATTTTTCCCATTGATTTGATTTGCAATTGCTGCTTTGCTAGCGTTTGTAGAAAAAAAAACAACACCAAACCATATATTTTCTGAAAGCGGAGAATAAAAAGATGGTGGTACTAAATTTGTAGGCCCTGCGATAATTGCACAAATGTTTCTCAAATTAATATTAAACCAATAAATAAAACCAATTGATAAAGCACTAAAACCATTATCAGCGCACAAAATAAAAAATATTTTCTAACAATCTAAAAGATAAAACTGTATTAAGTGAATAATTAAACAATACCCCATAACTACAGTTATGAGAAATGGTTTAATAGGTCCAATTTTGGCAGCGGCTAGGGCAATAATACCAAGGTATTGGAGGTCAACAAAGTTCCCCCAGATGGTAGAACTTGTGAGCCGCTGATGACAGCTATTAATTTAAAGGGGACCATCTGGAGAACAGTTCTGATATAAGTTCATGGTCGACCATGAGCTTATAGCAGAACGGTAAATGCCACCGACATAAGGCGTACTGACCTGGGGTTTTGGGAACAGTTTTGTTCCGCCGTGTGCCTTGCGTCGGTGGCAGGGTAAGGGTTAAACATCAACGAGCAGCATCCACTGTAATTGATTACATCAGCATTAAAAATTGTTTATACATCTTTTAAATTTAGTATCACATAAAAATAATAAATTCCTTTTTTGGACCAGAGTCACATTGGAGTGTTGGAGTTATTTATGCAATTATAAACTCTTTTATTAGATTGTGTGTGTACACATTCATGCAGACTCCCTGTAAGGTCTCGTTCACACCTAGGCGTATTGCATATGCGCGTCTGTCGCGCGTTATTTTACCGCGATTCGCGGTAAAAAAGTCGCGCGTTTCCGAAGGCTGCTTGGCTGTATCCCAATGGAAACGCGCAACAAAACGGCCCAAAGTAGTACATGTACCTTTTCAGGCGTGGGCCGTTTTGTAGCGTGTTAGGGACGGGCGGAAATACGCCAAGGGGGGAACGAGACCATTGAATACAATGGGATTTATATTTTTGAGCGTTTTGTAGAGCGTTCGTCGAGAGTAGAACGCGCTACAAAACGTTCAGGTGTGAACGAGGGCTAAGTGATTTTTAGGAAGAGAAATAGGAACTCTTACCAATAGTAGTCCATCAGAAGAATTCATGGGGTTGGCTTACTAAAGCCAAATAGGCTGCTCACATTGCTGGGGAATTTCCCTTAGCTTAGTGAATGAACCTCTGCTTATTTCCATTTTCTAGTCATGTACATGAATTCCTGCTGTTTTCCTTGCACGTGATTGGGTATTCTTTGCAAAGTGATTTTTAACATTATTCACTAATCTAAGGGAAAATTCTACTTTTGGTTCCATTAATGTGCATCCACAGGTCTCTGGATCCCAGCAACCCTCTTTATAGAAACCTCTACTTATGCCATAGTCAGATGTAAGCCTTGGCCCTTCTATTGCAATGATATGTAGGGTGCGTGGCGCAATCATCGTTTTCGCACGTAGGCGCACTCAATGTGTGTTCTTGCATCTATGTGTGCCTCTACATGGGGCGGGAGAGTTTAAAATTTTGTTTGTGTTTTTACATTTTTTTTTTTTTTTTTAGATGTGACTTTCATTTTAATTTTTTTAACGCTTAACTTTATTGCTATCACGTAAGGGGCTAACAAGCCCCCTATGTGATAGCACAGATACAGTGACCGGCCCTCTTTATGGAGACATCAGGGTTGTACTAAAACCCCTAATGTCACCTAGGGACCCCTAATGAAGCTGAGGAAGCACAGTTCTGCTCTGGCTACCGCAGAAATTACAGCTTGAAACCGGAAGTGATGTAATACACATCACTTCTGCTTTCAGTGATCGCAGGGGAGGTCAGCCACTGGAAGTGTGCTGATCTCCCTTCAATCAAGGTACAGAGAGCCGTCATGCTGGTCCCGGGTCTGCATTGGGGACAGCTGAGCTGGCAGCAGTGGCAGAAGGGGGGATGCATACTCCCTGGGACCATACAAGCAATTGGGCGGCCCGAATGCTTGTATGTAACTACCATCGCTGGCTATTTAAACGTTCCCACTCCCACTTGTCCGCAAATGGGAGTGGGAAAGGACGTTTATAAATGCCCACCCACCGTCAGGAGTGAGCTTTCCGGCCTTTGAATTACGATGGCTGGACTGCAAGTGGTTAATAGTCCAATGTCAGAGGCTCTGTAAAGGGAACCTTTCCTGACACCTAAAATGCACATGTCAGTGACTCCCCAAAGCATCAATATATTTTTTTTTTTCTTTCTTTACTAATGTTTTGAATTGTATTACAAAATGGATTTAAAGTGTTGATAAGTATTGATTTGGCAATGGAATGTTAGTAATTTAATTTTTTTGTTTACTTTTTCTTTTCTCCTTTTGCGTACAAATAATATATTTCTCAATAAAAATTTAATGAATAAAAAAACCCCCCAATCACCAGTGGCCGCTCCCAGTATTTCCAGCCTGTCACGTTCCTTTTTAATTTGAGGTGCTAGCACTTTAGTAATATTTTCAATTTGATCACTTTTATTAAAAGTAAATGTTTGGTTCATATACAACAAGCTGACTTATGAGATTGATGCCATAACCTTTTCTTGCTCACCATTGTGCAGATCTGGCCTTTCATTTTCCCCGGCACTGTAAAAAATTCAATGGCACCGCAGCCACACCCCACACCTGCAGTGCGATCGCCCTTTTAGTGCCATCGTTCGGGTCCAGTGCAATCTGCAAAAATAGTGCCTGCGTTCCGGGTGCGGGCGATCGGACTGCGGGCTGGGGGTGTTGCTGCAGTGCCATTGACTTCAATGCACCGCATGCCCCCTCCCACCCCTGAACGCAGGGAGCTGGCCGGCTTGCATTCCCAGTGCGTTACAGAGGACGAACGCTCTGGATCGCAGACTTTGTGGCGTGAACCGGCCCTAAAAGGAGGATTTGATTTGCTGGCATAGAAAAGAACAGCTCTTGCTTTAGGAACAGATAAAGACACGTTATTGCTTCTTCTGTAAAAACTTTCCTAAGCCCTCACACATGGACACAGGTGATATTAAAGTCACATTTTTTGAGCTATTTCAAATGCTGATTAATTCACTTACAATGGATGCTGCATGTGCTATATTTTGCCGATCGCACTGGACCAGAATGCAGGCAAACCCTTTTGCCCCAAAACAAAGTGAGCCGGCCGGGTTGCTTTCCAGTGCATTCCAGAAGCTGAAAGCACTGGAACGCACTCTTTATGGTATGACTGGGCCCTTAGGGCAGGTTCATACCATTTTCCGGACCAGATCTGGAACGCAGTGCATTGCGTTTTGCCATGTTTTTACCACGATTTTGCCGTGATTGGAATTTTTTTTTAAAGCTTAAAATGATCTTACAGGTGCGTTCCAGTGTGCTTGTAATCATTGTTTATGCATTCCAGTGCATTCCAGACCAGACAAAATGACACCTGCAGTATTTTTCTGGTCTGGTCTCAAACGGACTGCGCTGGTGTGAACAGGGGCCAAAAATGGCATGGGGTACTTTTGGGATGCATTTTGGGTACGGAAACAATCTGGTCTGGTCTGGAGATGATCTGGTTGTGGTGTGAATGGGCCCTCAGGGTGACTCCTTTCCCTTGCTTGTGCATGCTAGTAAGCTTCGTGTGTCTCTACTAATACACGGACGCAGCAATGAAAAGCACTGCCCTGTTCTCTGCTCTCCTATCCAAGCTAGTAGATGGGCGGCTTCACAGACTGCTCTGCCCCTTGTAATCTTGTACTGGACAAGATGTTCAGGGAAGCTGAGCTGAAAGAGGTGGAGCTGTCAGAAACATGATGACTGTAAGTGCTTGAGCAAAAATGCTTGGGTATACTATGCCTGGCCAAAAAAAGGTCACGCACTTTAATATTTTGTTGGACTGCCTTTAGTTCTGATTACAGCATCCTGTAATGCTTCTGATAATCTTATGTAATGTCACAACATTTGTTTCCATCCTGAGTTGTATTCATTTTTCACCAAAATCTTGTAGTGGTGATGGGAGAATCGGACCTCTGCGTAAAGTCTTCCCCAGCACATCCCAAAGAGTCTCAATGGGGCTAAGGTCTGGACTTTGTGTTTGAAATGATGTCTCATGTTCCCTGAACCACTCTTTCTCAATGCCAGGTTTCATCAGGCTCATCTTGGAATATGTCCGTGCCATCAGGGAAGAAAAAAAAAACAATTGATAGAAAAAAATCAGTATATTCAGGTGGGCAGCTGACCTAATTTTTCGGGGACATAACATTGCTGAACCTAGACCTGACCAACTGAAGCAAGCCCAGATCATAGCACTGCCCGAAATCCAGGTGGTGACTTTTTTTGGCCAGGCAGAGTATATTTGATCTGGATTAAGTATTGAAAAAGGTTTGAGAGTTTAATACTTCTTTCAGGGGTAGCCTGCTAGTCAAGCAGTTGGTGTGAAGTAGCCACAGTGATGTGATAAGGCGGTGCTTAGAAAAAGTTATCCCTCTTGCTGTTGTGGTGGTGATATCACTGGCTTGGTTGGTTAGGTCGCAATGAAACTATGACTAAGAGTTGGGGAGAGCCTACCATGATCTGACTGGTAGGTCCCCTTCCAAAGAGCAAAGACTTGTACATTACATTGACCTATGCCTTCTGTATATATTCTCACCATTGATGTATGGCAATCAGTAATATCTCAATATGTTATATGTACATATAAAATAATCTGTCTTCTCCATAGTATGGCTTCCTTTGGCTGGAAGAGAAAGATTGGTGAGAAGGTATCGAAGGAGACCTCACAGAACTTTGAAAAGGAGTCAGCTGAAGAAGACCGTATCATCGAGAATGATGACGTGGACTGGCTCCACTATGTGAAACGTAAGAAAGGAATTCTCCTGGAGGATAATATCACAAAAAGTAAACACCTGAAAGATGAAGGAGCCTTATTGGCACTGAATGGCAGGTATGACTAGCAGAAATCTACTTTTTGTGGCATTTTGGTGAATGTTCACGGTAAATTCTTTGTATATTGCATGTCTATGTTCTCAATAGCAACCAGTTAAGTTCTGTCCCATGTTTTGGCTTAGTGACGGAAGCCTAGATCACGGGTTAGTTTCTTTCTCTCTGGCACTCAAAAGAAAGTTTCTGCACCCTGAAGGCCATCCCTCCTGCCACCAGCCATTATGGCTATTGGAGTGTTGGATTTTGGGATAGGCAGAATGTCTACTATTTTGGGTCACAACAATTGGGCGACAACACTGATTTTAAATTTTCTCTTTCTCTTACTCTAGTTTATTGAAATCTGTTTCAGTTTTTTTTATTTGTATATTATTTCCTATTTTAAAATGTAAAAATGTGCATTAAAAGGGCAGTTTATCATCATGTGGTCCAGATGTGGTCAATGTGTGAGTTAGGGTTCCCAATGCGGTCCTACATCCAATTTTCGGGCCTCCAGATCATACGATATAACCGTCATTCTGTTGGGCAATGCTTTGGGAAATTGAGGTATGGCCAATTAGAGGGAAAACAAAATGCACGCTTACCGGTGGGACAGGTTGGGTGTAAGAAGGGTTGGACACCTCTGATTGTCTTCAAGTATTGGTAGTCATTCCCATCTATTTGTTCGATAAAGAAACTATTGTTGAACCTTGTTTATATGTATTGTTCTGGAAAAGTGGTCACTATTTGATGTGATATTGACTGGATAGGACAAATATCCAACTTTTGTATTGTGTAGCCCACGTAGAACATGTCCTGAAAAGTGACTTAGTTAGGGACTTGAGTCAATGTTACCGGATTTAAGCATATGTAGTGAGAACAGAGTAAAGAAGCTGCCCCTGGTGGCTTTATTTTAAAGGACATGCACAGGGGCTTTCCTACAGGCCCTTGCCTACAGTGCCTGGTAAATTATTGCTTGGGGGCGAGTATAAAAATACACTGGTCATATAAAAAGTCACACACTCTAATGTTTTGTTGGACCGCCTTTAGCTTTGATTACGGCACCCATTCACTGTGGCATTGTTTTTATAAGCTTATGCAATGTCACAACATTTATTTCCATCCAGAGTTGCATTCATTTGTCACCAAGATATTGTAGTGATGATGGGAGAGTCGGACCTCTGTGTAAAGTCTTCTCCAGAACATACCAAAGATTCTCAATGGGGTTAAGGTGTGGACTCTGTAGTGTCCAATCCATGTGTGACAATAATGTCTCATGCTCCCTGAACCACTTTCACAATCTGAACCTGATGTATCCCGGCATTGTCATCTTGGAATATGTCCAATGTGCCATCAGGGAAGAAAAATCCATTGATGGAAAAGCCTGATCATTCAGTATATTCAGGTGGGCAGCTGACCTAATTTTCTGGGGACATAGCATTGCTGAATCTAGACCTGACCAACCAAAGCAACCCGAGATCATAACACTGCCCGAAATCCAGGTGGTGACTTTTTTTTTTTTACCATGCAGCGTAAGTCTAAAGCCTCCTCCAGCAAACGTCTTCCAGATCTGAATTCTGCACTTGTAAAAGAAGTCCGATTCCATTTTTGTATTCTCATTTGTTTCCTTATAACATGGGGGTTGTAAAGGGGTACAGAGAGAACAGTCCTCGTGTTGTATATCCCGAGTGGATACTTTCTGATATCTTTTATACCCCTTGTGATATCTGCGCAAATCCTGCCATTCTTTTTCATGGTATGTTTTGCTCAACAGTGATTTTTTTAATACTAGGTGGCCTTAGCTTTAAACAAACTTAGTAACAGAATCTGAATGTTCAGTCTTGTATTACGTGCAGTCTAATGGATTTTTTCTTTTATTTTCACCCCCGTTAAGGTTTAAAGTGACACTAAACTTGGGAGTTAAATCTTAAAAATACATTCAAGTACCCTTGCTATTAAGAAAAATGTATCTTATTTGTGTATCGCTTGGCTGTAGATCTCTGAATTGGTGCTGACACTGTCCTTCCTTCTGGAGGGTGGCTACTTTTGTTCCCTATGGTCCCTGTGTGTGTTTTAAAGTAGGAACCGCTTTCAAGCTCGCTGCCATGATGGACTACAATCTCACGTTTAGTTTATTAATTTGTACTGAGATTGTAGTCCATCACACAAGTGAGCTTGGAGCGGTGGTTACTTTACGACACACACAGGGACCATGGGGAACAACAGTAGCCACCCTCCAGAAGGAAGGACAGTGTCAACATGAATTCAGAGAAGATTTGAGGCTCTACAGCCGAGTGATACACAAATCAGATCCATTTATGTTAATGGTTAAGGTACCTGAATGTATTTTTAAGATTTACCACCTGAGTTTAGTGTCACTTTAAATGTATAGGTAAGATGTGTTGTTTATCACTTGTACCACAAGGTGGTGCTATAACCCTTTAGAAAAGATTTTCGCTCTTTGGATTTCTTTAGCAGCAGGACAGATGATATTTTCTGTGTATTTCGTTTTCAGGTTGTGTGATTGGGAAACTTTATTCTATTGATCTGTCTGCTGTCATGTTATGGATTTCACATTGATTTAAGTTATCATTTTGGGGCAGCCTAATGTTACCCGCAGGAGAGTCTGACCTTTTGCTCTTTATTTGAACAATTAAATGGAAAAGCAGGACACTATTTTATAACGCACTGATTGCTGTATAATAGCAGCTTTAGAGAACAACTCCGGGCAAATAAAATATTAACCCTTGTAGGGGGGATTTCCCTGCACTGCAAGGATGAAATGCTCGTTTTGTCTAGGAAGCTAAAATAACAGAGATTAATATTCAACAGAGGGTTAATATTTTATACTCACCCGAACCATGATTCTGGCTGGCTCCTAGATCGGTCTCCACCTCCGCTCCAGTGATGGAATCTCCCTTTTGTGTCCTCACTCGCAGACACTTAAACCGCCGTAGTGGAGGAGGAGACAGGCTGGGGGGGGGGGGCGGTCTGGGAGCGTGGTTCAGGTGAGTATATCTCTGTTATTTTAATCCATTTGATAACCCATAGATAGATCTATTTATATCTCTGACCTGATTTGAGAGAAACAATGTATTAATCACTAATTCTTATAAATTGATAAATATAAACGATCCAATGTGTGAACACTCCTGCTGAAAATACATTTGGAGCAGCTGTGGGTGGGGTATATCCCCAGTTAGATACAACTCTGTAATCCTGTATCACATCATAAATATCGATCTTATGACTTTAACCAGTTGACATCCGCGGTGTTAAACCCCCTTCCCATCCAGGCCATTTTTCAGTATTCAGCGCTGCGGTACTTTAACTGACATTTATTCCGTCATGCAGCGCTGTACTGAAATGAATTTTATACCCTTTTTTGGGGACAGATAGAGCTTTCTTTTGGTGGTATTTATTCACCACTGGGGGTTTTATTTTTTTACTATATTAAGGAAAAATTACCGAAATTTAAAAAAAAAAACAGTTTCCCCTATATTAAATGATAAAACATTTATTATTACCCAATTTTTTGGTACTGTGCAATCTAGAGCTCTAGACCAAAACAGTGAGTACTCTTGTTTAGTGGCGCCATTTGCCACAGTTCTGAAGATCTCAAAGTGTGAACCTTGTACCTTTTTAATCACGAAGAGGTTTAAACACCCTTCTCGGAACTTACGAGACTGTGTTATAATCCCAGGTGAATAACTTGATTGATATACAGCATCCACTTCTTACATGGATTATTAAAAACACCTCCTATGTGAAACCCACCACTTGCAGGACTACAGAAGGAGTCCTTTGTCACCACACTGTTGATTGTTTCATCTTGGTATTTATAACCCCACTAGGTATACAAGCAATTAAGGGAACTTTACTAGCAATGCAAGATGCAATTAAATCATGAAAATCACTTTGTGTTCATTCTAGAAATGATCGCAACAATGTCTTTTGAGCGCATAACAAACATTGTCAGTTAAAGGAGAACTATGGGGTCAGTGTTTTTCCCCATAGTTCTCCTTGGGGTAACGGGAGGACACAAACTAGCGTCCTCCCGTTACCCTAAGCTCAGTATACCGCGAGCTACAGCTCACGGTATACTGAGACGCCGCAGGCGGAGCGGATCCCGACTTAGATGACGGGAACCGCCCAGCTGCGTGAGTGACAGCTGGCTCTGCCTATCTAGAGGCAGAGCCAGCTAGACCCAGCCCCCGCCCCCGTCCATTCCGCCAGTCAGCGCTGGCAGATCGGAGCAGGGAGAGGGGAATCCAGCCCCTCCCCCTGTCACGGCAGAGAGCCGTGACAGGATCGAGAGGTGAGCGAACGCAATATGTGTTCGCTCACCTCCCGATCTACTGAGCCGACCTGTGACAGTCTCATTGTCACAGGTCGGCTAGAACTATGAGGATGAGTGAAAAGCACTCGCCTCATACTTCTCCTTTAAATATCTGACATCAAAGGCTCCACCGGCTTATACTTGAAACTGATCAGTTCGTCCTTTAGTGTGTGCATGAAGCGAGTGAAACCATGGTTGTACAATCATTTTTTAATAGGGGTTTCAGGTGATGGTTTTTGATGGTTGATATCGATGACCTGTGTTTAAAACATGTTTAATAAAGATTTATATTTTTATACCACAGCAGACACTCCGACCCTTTTTATAACTGTTCTTTGATCTAATCTTCTTTAGATCAGTATCATTTTTCCCCCTGTTATTTTAGCTCCCTAGATAAAACGAGCACTCAACCCTTGCAGAGCGGGGGTTGCCCCACTGCAAGGGTTATGATTTTATTTGCCCTGAGAATTTCGCCTAAAGAATTGGCAATTGTCCTATTGTCCCATGATTTTTCCAGGTATTCCTGTGAAGAGTCAGCTAGGTAATACACAGTAGAGCAGGGGTCAGCAATCTCGGCACTCCAGCTGTTGTAAAACTACAAGTCCCATGAGGCATTGTAAGACTCTGACAGCCACAGGCATAACTCTGAGGCAGAGGTATGATGGGATTTGTCGTTTCAGCACATC